TCAGCAGCGTAAGGATTTAAATGTATTAACGTCTTGTGACCAGGTACGAGTCTTAATTTTTGTGCCTGCCGTCAGTGGTATCGGTTAGCTCTGGAGCCGTAAAAACCTGTCGTCTTTTTTTCCTGCATACATAGCTCTTCTCCTGTTTCAGCTCCTGCTAAAAGGAAAAAAAAAGCCAAATATGTAAGTCCTGTAAAGTACTGAGTGCGTGTTGATGTGGCCTTCTGGTTACAAAGAATGAGCGCGGATGGAAGAAATGCGAAGACATCTTCCCCGTCTCGCTCGTGAGCCAGTCGCACGCACCCCCCCGCCCGACTTTCAGGCCCAGCAACGTATAATTACTGCCAAATGACTTTCAGCTCCAGATTGTGCAGCTGGGATCAGTGATTACAATTGGAAGCAAATAAAGGATTTGTTCCTCAGTGTTTGCGCTAGGGAGAATCATTACCTTTAAGATCATTTTAGTTGAGTTAAAGATAGTTTCGTGCAGCATTTATGTATTTTTAAACCAACGATGATGAAAGGTCGGGGAATGACCCCTCTCCCCTGAGGATGACAGTCGTTCCTCCAAGCAATAAAAAAAGGGTATACACCAGCAACGTGCAGCTCTCTATTCGGGAATAGTTGCTCAAGGACCCGACCTCAAGAAATAGTTACGGGCAAGGCACGAGTCCAATCTTTAGCCCTTCAGCTCTGGATGCTGCTGGACAGGGAAAGGCGGATAGGTACTGAGATAATGACATCTGTTTACTCAGAAATGAGTTGGGAAACACCAGCCAGCTCTCCGCTGGATGCTGTAGCCATCAGATGGTGGTAGATGAGCTCCCGTTGAGCTGGGCTCAATTTGAACTAGAAAGCCAGAGGCGATGGGGATTTTTCCCCTTCGGAAAACAGAAGATACTGCCTTTCCGCTTCCTGCATTGCAGAGTGCAGCTGAAAAAACCTGTTAGTATCTCTGAAATAAAGCTGGAGGAAAGGTAAACTTTCCATTCGTGCACTTTTTTGCTTTAGACAGAGCTAGGTTTTATAGCAGTAACGGGGCTTTCTGGAAGGTCTGGCTACGGTAACGTACTGCTGCCCTGCAGAGAGGCCGCAGGCGCAAGAAGACGCGCGCTTGACGTGCGGCGATCCCTGCTCCCGCTCTCTGTTCTAGCGGGAAGCGTTGAAAGAGATTTCTGAACATACTTGGAGGCTTGCTGTAAAAGCTAAGCTGCTTTCGGAAAGGCTGTGGTATCTCTTGTTTAATGTATTGAAACATCCTCTTCACCTCTGTTAAGATGAGGCATCCAGCGGAGATTGTGATCGCTTGTAGCCCTGAAAGATCCTGTATGAAGATTCATTTAACTGCAGGCATCTTGGTCAAATTCTGACTCAAAGCACTTGTGTCCAGCCGAAAAGGCAATTCCTGTCTTAAGTGATTGTGTAATATTGCTGTGCCAAATTAAACAGCTGCTGCATTTCCCAGTGTATAATCTGCTTAGCAGCTGAGGCTGGTAAGGCTCTTTGAGTCTAGAGGTGCAGTATGAATGTAGGAAAGCGATGGGATGGCTTTATTAGTATCCCAAGTTTTCTATTACAGTGGCCTAGCCTCTTTTCTATGTTAATCTTAGTGCAGGTGTTCTAGAAAATAGCTTGAAGGGAGATTAATATTCTTGACCGTGTCCAGATTACTGTGAGGCCTTTTTATCTTCATGTCCAACAAGCATTTTCAAAGTCAGCATTTTCACTAATACACGGGTGCAAAGTTCGACTTGGTGGGCCACGGACATAGAGTTTCCATATCACCTTAGGAGTTAGGTTCCTTGAACTTACTTATCAGCACTTTGGCTGATCAAAGCTTTGCTTAATGCTTCTTGTATCATGTAGGTTTGGATGCGTGAATGACTCACCCTTTTAAAAAAAAAAAAAGGCTAAAAAGAAAAAAAAGCTCTGCTTTCAGCCTGAGCGGTTTTCATTGTGTAAATGAGTAAATTAATACAATTCTTCCCTCTCTTCCTCCCCCTGCCCCACATCTTTCCAGGTCGAATCAAGTATTCGGAGCGAGTGTACGATGCGTGTATGGATACATTTGACTGTCTTCCTCTTGCTGCCCTCTTAAACCAGCAATTTCTGTGTGTTCATGGAGGACTGTCTCCAGAAATCACGTGTCTAGATGACATTAGGAAAGTAAGTAATCTCCGTGGTCCTTTCACATAGCTTACAATTAACAGTGGGGTTAATGGCTTGCTTGATTCCTGCATGGAGTTGCAGGCTGAGGCTCCTGTGCTCTGCTTGTCCACGCCGTAGGTGTGTGTATGTTACTGCAGCTTTTGCCAGCGTCGTCCTGATTTTTGTGTACGTTTTTCAGTTAGACAGGTTTAAGGAGCCTCCGGCCTTCGGTCCAATGTGTGACCTGCTCTGGTCCGATCCATCAGAGGATTACGGCAATGAGAAAACGCTGGAGCATTTCGCCCACAACACCGTTCGAGGCTGCTCCTATTTCTACAGGTAAGTGGTGTTTTAGGGGGCTCTGATGGGCTAGAGCTTTGTGTCTCCCCTTACGCTGAGGTGTATGGGGAGATAAATTGCCATTCACATTGCTCTCTGGGACTTTACAGTGTACCTGGCTCTGAAATAGTCTTCGGTTGGCTCTAATGCACAAAATCTTGTTTGTTTTTTCTTCTCCTGTAATATTGTGCTCTCTTTGGATACGTTGCTCTATGAAATTGTGGTATCGGACAGCAGAGATGCTTCTTTTAGCTGGCAGGGTGCCTTTTGAATGGTTTTCAGGCATTGGACAGTACCAGGAGCTCTAGGAAATAATCTTTTCCTGTCTAAAAGAGAAGCATTTGTGCTGACAGACCACTTGTAGCCCAGCTGATAGGAAGGATTTGGCACCAGGAGTCTGTTTAACAGAACGCTTTGCAATTAATTTTTGAATGATGTAATACATACTGGCCTTGTTTGGGGATGCTGGACACAAACCGAGTGGATGCTGCAAGTGGCTGGCTCCCCGAAACCAAGACCAGGGGTGCTGCCTGTTCTCCTGTGCTACATGCTAATGTATACTTGCTTTTTCTTTTCCAGTTATCCTGCAGTTTGTGAATTTTTGCAGAACAATAGTTTGTTATCTGTAATCCGAGCTCACGAAGCCCAGGACGCTGGGTAAGTGCTGCAGCCTGGTAGCTGAGCAGGCTCTGTCTGCGTTCATGCTATCCTTAGCAAGAGCAGTGTGTTTTAACACTTGACCTGTTTTTCAGGTACCGAATGTACAGGAAGAGCCAGACAACAGGCTTTCCATCATTAATCACAATCTTCTCTGCACCAAATTACCTAGATGTCTATAACAACAAGGGTAAGGCTGGCAAGGGCAGGGCTCTGCTGCTTGTCAGATGTCGGTACTGTCCTCACGCCCTTAGGAAATCCCTCTCCGTCTTCCTTTGCCTTGCCGGTTCTGCCCTCTCCTCTAGTTGCGTTCTTATGCGTGAAAAGAAAAAGAGCTTTGTATGTTAAACTGATGGCAGCTGGGGAGCTGGAAGTGGCTGGGTTCTCTGACTCGAAGACTTAATGTATGACTGTGACAATTAGCTGTCAAGTTATAAAGCCTAGAATAATGCTTTCATTTCCAGCCACATGACAACTAAGCGCTATTGATGAATGCTGCCATAAAAGAGAAGCTGCTGGTATAGGCAAGCTTTTTACTTCACTGTGCCCCTAAAACCATATGGGTATGATGGGGAACTCTTCTCAACTGTGGGTTTGTTGTTTTTTTGTTTTTTTTTTTTTGCCACTCACTTTGGATCTTGGCCTTGTGTTTATCGCTTCTGACTTGCATAAATTCTAACAGCTTTGTTAAATTGACCTTCGCTATTATGATGAGCTTTAGTGAAACAACGTAATGGGTAAACTGAAAAATATTGCTTAAGCCTTCTCATTTTGGAGAGCTGGTAGTTTGATTCTTCGTGAGTGCAACCTCTCGAGGATAATGAAGTTTCAGTAGCGTGGGTACAACTCCCAGAAGTTGACAGTGCTTATGGACACGTATTGTCTTCCCTTTTTCTCTCCTAGCTGCTGTACTGAAATACGAAAACAACGTCATGAACATCAGGCAGTTCAACTGTTCCCCTCATCCGTACTGGCTTCCAAACTTCATGGATGTCTTCACATGGTCTTTGCCTTTTGTAGGGGAAAAGGGTAAGAGATATTTGGGTTTCTGTCGTGAGTTGCCCGGTGACTGGTCATAGTACCCTGAGTGTTAGAAACCTGTCCCACAGGCTATTAAATATGTTGAGAGAGTGTTGTAACTCCTTACTCTCAGATAGCACGGGAAAGTAGTTCAGGTTCAAGGAGATCTGCTTATTACTGGGTAAAGTTCACATGAAAATAATTGTTGATATCTGTTTTAGAAAGCTTTTACCAATAAAACGATCCCTTCGTGCTATTTCTGCGTTGCTGATGGAGCCGATCTTGGGTGGTGTCGCCCCACCTCAGAACTTGGAGACATTTCTCTTGCTCTGGGTTTGCAACAGAGAAATTAAAATCTCCTGTTGGCTTGTGGCCCACCAAAAAGGAAGCATTCACTTCAATTTAAAGGCATATTTCACTCTGAAGGAGGCGAGGCAGCTTAAAATACGACCAAGGCTTTGCCTCAGTTTCTCAGCAAAAGGGTTTTTACATCTCCTGGTGAATTTAAATTCCACTCCAGTGTTGTATGTTTGGAGTACGACTTAAAGGTCTGAAATGCCAAAGGTTTTTTTTGACTTTGAGGAACCAAAGGTTGAATTTCCCCCAGATTTGACGTTCTTGGAGCCAGGTGGCCTGTTGTGCGGGTCGGGGTGGGGAGGTGGGACCATCAGCGAGCCCCGGCTGTTCTGCATGAATGTTGGCACCCCGCTCCCCACGTCTGTTTCATCTGTGATGTGCTTGGACTGCCTCCACCTCCTTGGCAGAAGGTGTAAAGTATGTCGTCTGCTCTGGGTACTGCTGCGAGGTACCAGCAGTATGCAGCTAAAAGTGTCTTTGGGCTTCCACTTCCAGAGTATAAATGACCTTGAAATCGTTTGCTCGTCCAGCTCGTCCTCCAAATACCTCTGTCTGCCAAGCGTGCGCGCCAGGCCTCTCTAATCTTCCTGTCTGTACTTCTTACAGTCACAGAAATGCTCGTTAACATCCTCAACATATGCTCCGACGATGAGTTGATTTCAGATGGTGATGAGACATTGGAAGGTAAAAAACGCTGTTACGACCGAGCTGGTAACGGGGGGGCGGTGAAGGTGGGGAAGGTGTATGATGTTAGCTCAACAGTGATCGGCACTTGACTTATAGCTGGATGCCCAGCCAGGGTCTCCAGTTCCTTTTTGGCCAACCCTTGTGCAGTTCTGGGTAGGAAACTTTTTTTTTTCTCCCCCCTTCACTATTCAGTCACAGAGAAATTAAATTATATTCACTGCGACAGACGCTTCATGCCAGCTACTCTGGAGAATGGTTTCCTGCTCCTTACAGAGCCTGCTTCCCAAGTGGTTATTTTTTCCCCTAATTCAAAATTTTCTGCACCAAAATATCTACCCAGTCTTCTCATCTGTTGCAGTGAACTCCTCTGTAAAGTAGCTTCTCATGTCACCCCCAGAAAAGCAGAATGCGGCTTTTGGCCCTGGTTTTAAGCTATGCATGAAAGGGACAAAGCAGCTGCTGAGCTGATCGGCAGTTTCTATATCGGGGGGATCGCTCCAGAGCGAGGTGGTGGCCTAGAGGAAGCTCAGGCGCGGACGTGGGGCATGCAGCGAGGAGCGGGGCCGTGAGCATGCACGGGGGGGTCCGGGGGAGCCGCCTGTGCAGATCCGTGTCGGGCGGAGGACAGTCAGTCCCACAGAGAAGCAGAACACCGTTGTGGTACAACAAGGTGCCGCTGCTTCGGTCGACAGGTTGAGACTTTAACCCGCTTCTCCCATTGCATTTCGTTTTTGGTTTTTTGGTTTTTTTTTTTTCTTTCTCCCTCCCATGAAAATTAAATTTGTTTCTTCTATCTCTGTCTTCATCTACTTGTTTCTTGGTGTCTCCTCTCCCTGAAGATCACTACATTTCAAGCTATCAGAAAGGTACCCAGCTAGAATTTGCTACAAGCTTAATTTTCACTGCCTGTGCCACCAGATTCCTTGGAGTGGATTTGAATAGCTGACTAGTTGGGCAGTCTCTTCATCCCCTTTCAGTTTTAACATAAGCGCCGTGTGTTTTTTAACCCTTCTGCGTTCCTCCAGGAACTTGAGAAACGGGGTCACGTTTCTATCTGACTTCTGAATGCAGCCACTTAGTGCATGGCTGAGCCATCGGTGCATGTTAGACCTCCGGTTTGGCTTGTACTGTCCTAATGTGTAGTTGGGCCATGTGAGGAATCTCAGCTGAGAGGAGATGTATTTGTTACCTCTTTTAGTTTGATTTTTGTTTGTTTTCAGTTACCCTCCATGCTTTTCTCTCACGTTCGGTCTGTATAGCGGAAGGGGAGTTCACATATCTCACTTTGTGTTTGTGTGGGGTCAAAGCAGAGTTGCAAGGCTCCGGCCAGCCATTCACTGTGCGCGTTGGATGCCAAAGCTGATGCTTGCGTGACACTCCTCCCCGCGGCGAGCACAGCCCGGTGTTCTGCAGTGTTCATCAGCAGTCAGATTCGTCGGTCTTCTGCCTTGCAAAACTGTGTCTACATGGCTGAGTCATTTGTGTTACATCCTGTGTAGTGTGATCAAACCTGGTGAGCTTCGAACAAGACCTATCCGATCCGTTTCCTTTGATGGTTCTACTCTTTAGACCTTTAAGTCCGTGTGTCATCTCGTTGGTGTTGCCCTTCTCACTGCCATCCTGACCGCCATTCTCTCAGCACTGTTCTCTCAAGAGTGTAGCTGTGAATCTGTAAACCATGATTTCTTTTCCTGGAGTCAGGCAGGTGCTTCATATTGACATTACGTGTGCCTGGAAAGCAGGAAACCTTAAACATGCTGGTGTTTATTCTTTCTCTCCCTAAGGTGGGACAACAGTCCGTAAAGAGATCATCAGGAATAAGATTAGAGCCATTGGGAAGATGGCGCGTGTCTTCTCGGTTCTTCGGTAAGGAAGAAGCTTGTGATTTGGGGTCTGGGTAATGGGGGACATTGATCGGGCTGCTCCGGGCAGGCAGAGTCCTGCTGGGGGAAAAAAAAAAAAAATCTTACAGGGCTGTTGCTTCAGAGCAGACGGGAAAGGCTCGAGGTGGTGGCTTCTCTATGTCTGGTGGTCTGACTCTCAGAAACCTTCGTCTCAAGCAGCGGCACCTTTGCCAGCAGAAATACTGCCGATTAGGTATATTTAGCCCTCTCAGGATGCATTTGCTGTGCCGTAGCTCTGATGCGTCGTGGCTGAGTAAGCAGAGGTCCTGTATTTACGAGGCAGGGTTGTGCTCGGTGCCCAGCAGATCAGACGCGCGCTGCCCGCGGTCAGCGCAGGGCGGGCTCCGGTTTTCGTGCCGCTCACCCCTAATAGTCTTGCGTGGATCTAACTGAGCGTGGCGTTAATCTCTGGGTAACCGGTTGCGTTGCCTCTTATTTGCAGAGAGGAGAGCGAGAGCGTGCTGACTCTCAAAGGCCTGACTCCCACAGGTACACTGCCCCTGGGAGTGCTCTCAGGGGGGAGGCAGACCCTACAGACTGGTGAGTATGAACGATCCTGCTCTCTGCAACGCTGCGTCCCCTCTGGAGTTTTAAACCTGGCCCTCAGCTGCCCCAAAAACCATTCCGTCAGTTCCCGTAGGCGTACTTCAGGGTGCCAGGGGACCCGAGGGATGGTTCAGGCCCACGGGGAGGAAGGATTCAGAAATAGGAAAAAGCAGAAATGTAGGTGGGATGTGGAGAGCCTTCCAAGATGTCCCCGTATACCCTCGAGGAGGGGAACGCGAGGAAAAAAAAGACAACAAACAGCACCCTGCCTAAAGCATGTGTATTGCTTTATTGTATGTTTCTGCAACAATTTTTATCATTTATTTCCCTTCTAACACTGCATGATAAGCATCCTTTGCTTCACCTATCTGCTGCTGTTGTGTGATAGCGTATATATGAATGTAATAGTAAACACGCCTGCTCGTTTGTTCTTTGTTAAACGAAACCCCTCCGATTTTGACCCTATGAAATTTGTGAATCCCAAACAGAGGAAGCTTAGATTTGGTCGAAAGAAGGAGATTCTTCCAGGCCTGTGTGTTTCGTATTAAGACTTCTCTCGGCCCCCTGGTTTTGATCTGGTTTTGGAGGTTTCTTTTCTGTGCTTGCTGGCAAATGCTTTGCTCGCTCCCTCAGCAGCCAACTGGTCTGTCTTATTAGTGTGCTGCGAGCAGGACCGAGCTAGCGATCTGCGTGCTTTCAACTCGCAGGGCAGGGAGATTGGCTGATGGTCAGGGAATGAGTTATCATAGTAACATGTGTCCCCAGAGGGAATCCTGTAATCTAGTGTTTTAATCCTTTCCTGCCGCCAGCCTTTGAATGCTGGCCTCTAACCAGCCTGCTTTCCCCTTAGCGCTGGGTAATTTCCTGCGGGCTCTGAAGAGGGCTTGTTCTGGGATTGCCTTGCCTTGGTTAAATAGTTCACAAGTGAGAAACGTGTAAATATTGCTGCCCGCTCCTGGGGGTGGGGAGGATGCAGTATCGCTCCCAAACCCATGGGTTTCTCTGCCCGCAGAGGAGTATGTTTTGGGTTTTTTTTCTTTTTTTTTTTTTTATAGCAACCATAATGGTTTCTGTCGCCCCAGTTCTGCTGCAGGCATGGGAACAGAGCCTGAGTGGGAAGGCGGCTGTTACAGCTCGGCTCGAGCAGCCATCTCGCTCCTGGTGCCGCAGCTTTGCCCCTATAGCTGACAGCGCAGGGAGCATGCTGCGATGCTCTCCTGCACCTTCCCCTCTCGGGGGGTTCCTCTGAGGGGCTACCGGGGAGCTCCCCCCAGTAAGGAAGCTGAGATTTCTGCGCCTCCCCGAGACAGGACAAACAAGCTGGACCTTTGCTGTTGCCTTACCTGACCCTGCCTGCCGCCTCCTCCTGTGGCTTCAGGCTTCCCACCCCTTGCTGCTCCCGGCACCCCGTGCTCCCCTCGGCGGCACCCTGCTTTTCGTGCCCTTCTCACGCTCCTTTCCCCATCGTGCCTCCTTCTCTCACCCTTTCCCGTTTCGCACGTCCCTTCTCGCCGCGCCGTCTGCTCGCAGCAGCCTCCTGGTGAACGTACAGGCGCTCCTTCGGCAGCCGTGCCGGGAGCCCGTCTGCTCGGCGGGGAGAGGAGGGGGCTGCCCCGCTTCTGGGGTGCTTCTGCACCCCAAAAGAGGAGAGACAGGGCTGCAGGTAGCAGTGACGTGGCCCCTTCCCTCCCTGAGCCTCCTGCCAATCTTTCGGAGCACGGCTTAGCAAAATTGGCTAAGGAAAGTGCTGGATCTGGTGCAAAAATGTTCAGCTACAGTTCCATTCTTCCTCCATGGCCTCTCAAGGACCACGTGGCCTTTGTATTGTGTCCAAAGCAAAAAAAAATGGCGTTTTGAGGCTAAAAGCAGGGGATCTGTTCTAGGGAAGGGCCTCCTCCCAGATGCTGAGGCAGGGACTACCAAAACTTGGACAGCTGCTGCAGCAGATTTAGGAAGGGGGACATTGCTCAGCTTTATGGTGCCTTGTTGCTTGGTAACACTTTTAGGAGGTGGAGCTGAAGCCAAACTGGATTTGAAGCATCGGCCTGTTGTTTTGTTTTTTTTTTTTTGTTGTTGTTGTAATCCAAGGCATCCGCAGCGGAACGGCCTGGTATCTGCTGCTGCCTGCTCTCCCCCAGAGAATAAACTGCTCCCCTCCTCCCCACTGCTCCAAAAAGTCATCACGTCCTTCGGGGTCACTTCCCTTACATGGCTCTGGTGGCTGGGGCTTTGCTCTGGGACGAATTCCACGTAATTTACCTTCTTGAAGGTGGCCAGGAGGCCCTAGAGCCACCGAACTGGGAGCAGAGGGGCTGTAAAAGCAGGTGGAGACCCATGGCTTAGTCCGAGGCTAACGCTGTCCTTGCCGTGGGACGCCTGCATGCCCCAGCCCGCCGGCGCATGCAGCAGCGAGCCATCTCTCTGCTTCTCTGTTTCTTTCCGTCAGATTTATCTGTGTGACAAGTCCAGCGAATGTGAGGAAAGGAGACTCCCCCGTGTCAGTGCTCAGCAGAGGCCGAACCCGAGGGAGTCCCCTTTCAGCCTTCCTCTCAACCTCCTGTCACCTTTTTTCCTCTTGCCAGTTGGTTTTGATTACGGTCGTCTCCACCGGGGCTGGGAGGCTGTGGGCTCTGCGTTCGCAGCAATGATGTTAGATCACTCACCCTCACTCTTTTTTTTTTTTTTTTTCTGTCTTCATTTTTGCATGCCACTGTTCTTCTGTATTGCAGCCACAGTAGAAGCGGTAGAGGCACGGGAAGGTATGGCTAGAATCTGGCGAGAGACTCAAATCATCTCTGTGTGTGCGTGCGCTAATTTTAAAGAGCTTTATCAGCCTTATGGAAGCTTTTTACTCTTGCATCACCAGAAGTGGGAGAGGATGGGCCCCTGCTGGGAGGCAAAAAATACACAGCGGGCTGGGTCAAGTCTATTTTAGCCTTAATGAGGCTGTCGCTTAGTGCAATACCTTTATTCCCTGTCTCCGGAGCCGTTTGTGCTCTGGTGTCTCAAGACCTCGGTGTTGGGGTCCTGCAATCTGATCTCAGATGCCTCGTGGCTGAGTTCATCCCCTGGGTAACTCAATCCGGTGAAGGCTGCCGGCACGCTTGGTCAAAATCTTCTAGGAAATAGCGGATTGCGCAGCTCCGATGTAATCCTTGCCTTCCCCACGGGTGGGATAAGGTGCTCCCAGTGTGGAGAAGCAGTTTTCTCCCTGTAGTTTGTGTAGAAACAACAGATTCATGAGGTTACTGTCTTGGGGAGGTTTTCTCCTCGATAGCTCCCTTCAACTACTGATGAATGGGGCCGTACCTCTGCGTAGAGAACTTTTTGATTACCGAGGGAAGTTTGTTTGTAAACCGACCAAGTCCTCGTAAAAAGATTTGGCACAAAACCATTTTTCTTAAATTATCTGTCATACAAAGAAGTTAAACATTTGGTCCGTATCATCACCGCAAGGATGACGTACTCGGCCTCGTAGTGTTGAAACAGAGATAACGTTTGCCCTTGGTGGGATTTCATCGCTCGTGAGACTGCCTGTGTGTCTCCTGGTCATGCAAGAAGCGTTGCGTTTGTGATCCCAGGACTAGCTGTTCCCTCTCCTGGTGTTGCAGTGTGTGGTTTGTGTTGGAGTTAAAGCCTTGTGTTGGTGTCTTTGTGGTGTTGGTTTGGTTTTGCCTTTTTTTGTTTTGGTTTGTTTTTTGTTTTGTTTTTTTTTTTTTTTTTTTGTACTCTGTTTTCGTGTTTTGAGGTAGATTGCAAAATGAAATATTGTTTACAGAAAAGAGTCCGAATCCCAAAACAAAGGATACAAAAAAGCTTTCCAGGTGAGAAATGAGTTATTGTTCACCCAACTATTGAAATGGAATGTGCTGCCAAAGCCCAGTCCTAGTATGAGAGGGACTGTATCAACACAGACCAAATTCTTTTCCATTGGGAGCATTGGCAAAGACACCTGGCAGAGAAACATAACAAAAAGTAGTTTTGGACGCACAGTAGAAGCAGGGTAGTTGCTTCCGTTTTTTGTTTTGGTTTTTTTTTTGTTTTTTTTTTTTTTTTTTTTTTAGTATCCTGTTTTTCAGCTTTGAAAGTTTCCTGAGATTTCACTGTTCGGGGACGCTGAGCACTTGTCTGGTCTTCAAGTTCCTCCTACTAAACTGTATTAAAAGAGGAACCATTAGGGAGCAGAGCAAGTCGCTGCAGTCTGGATCCTAGACTTTGCTGCTGTGACCTAGCAAAGACTTCAACTTCCCAGCTGCGCTGTGGTACCCACAGGAGCTGGCGATGCCGAAAAATCACCTCCGGACCCATCTCGTGGTTCCCGTAGCCAGACACGTGCTTTCTGTCGCCCCGACCCTGTCCTGTACATGTCTAGGGTGGGCTAAAGGGCTGCTCTCCAGGGATCTGCGGCTCCGACTAACTCTTCTGTCTCGGCCCTTCTCTCCGCAGCCATTCGTGGATTTTCACCGCAGCACAAGATCCGCAGCTTCGAAGAAGCCAGAGGTCTGGATCGCATTAACGAACGCATGCCGCCACGCAAAGATTCAATGCACTCAGACGGGCCGGTGAACTTGGTAACCTCAACAAACTCTGCGGACAAGAATGGCACAGGGAAGAAAGCCCAGTAACGGTCCGAGCGCCCAATCTGCACCACTAAAGGATCCAAAACTTAATGAATTTTATTTATTTATTATTGGGGTGGGGTGGGGGCAGGGGAGAAACCAACTTCACCTGGAGGCACGTTCATAATCCAGTTTGCATCCATTCTGTAAGAAAGGTGACCATTTTGTAATTTTTTTATTTATGTTCAATATATAAAAAGTCCATCTTTTTTTAATTTAGAAACCAATCTAACTGCTAGTGCATATATGAAGTGTTGTGCTGTACAGCTGACCTCTCCTCCACGAGAGGCAAACCTCTGTGGGGGGATTAAAAGAAACAAAAACAGTCCCAGGCAACTTGGGTCGTTGACTTTGGTACAATTCTAAGTTAGCCTGTGCTTTCACAAGCAGGTCCTTCCGTTGAAAATAGGGTTGGTTTGGTTTTTCTTTTCACAACTCTCTTCTTCCCAGAGTTTGCTGTTGTTTTCTTCGACTTCTTGCCTACCTGCATCTGCTGCTTTAGCAAGCGATTCTGTGGAAGGCACATTGCGTGGTGCAGCTGGCTGGGATCCGTCCCTCTTCCAAGGTGACATCCAAATATTCCGGATTAGCTCTAAAGGACTCCAGTGTGTTATATCAATCACAGCACCTTTTCCTTCAGTAATTCAGTTTTATTCCAACGGAGCCCCAAGCAAAAAAAGTAACCTCTTAATCGGAACGGGAAGGCGGGTGGGAGAAGGCCTGCCCCTTGTTGCAGCTCTTCCCGAAGCTTTGGCCGTTCGGACTCGGCGCAGCCAGCTGTACGCCGGAGTTTGTCAGCCGGGGCTGTCCGTGCCGCAGAAATCCCTCTGGGAATCCCTCTGGTTTGGAGCAGAGGAATTACCTCCAGTCTCTAGTGATCAGGAGGGCTTTGGGAAATCTGCACAGCCTGAATTTTAAAGGAAAAAGTGGGTGATTTATAACGTATGGACGGAAAGACCCCCCCGCGCTACCACCCTCACATACTGCAGAGCCCGTGGCCCGCTCCCCTGCGCCCAGCTCTCGAATCGGCCCTCGCTGGTCAGTATTTGAGTGGTGGGCGTACGAGGTGGTCTCCCCGAAGCCAGCATCACCTCCCAGTCATCCAGCATGCGTCTTTGGGGGGGGTCTTTCACCTATTTGGGCGTACCCCGCCGCTGGTTACCTTCTTAGCCAGCGGCTATTCCTCCGACTCCAAAGGAGCCACGGGCACATCGGCCTTTCCCGGCAGCTGGAGGGGCTTTGCCGGCTTGTGATAAAGATTTTGGGGAAGGATGAGTGACGGTGCTGCTCGTTTTTGTAGAGACGTGGCTTTGGTGGCTGACGGCCAGTGGCGAGGTGGCTTTGCTAAAAAGCTCCTGGTTTGGGAAGCGCGTCCCTCCCTCGGCTGCAGGGGAGGGAGGATGGTTTTACGGTAGGTTGGCAGGTAGAAGAACCGAGTGGATCTGGCAGGAATTTTGGAAGGGTGTTGGTGCAGTGCTGGAGAGGGATCTCCTGGTAAAAGGAGGGTTTCTGGAGGCCGCCCTCTTTGCAGCGTCGAGGGTTTCGAAGCTTGGATCTTAAGCAGAGCCTCGTTCTTTCACTTAAAATTTGACCTGAAGCGAGTGTTGAAAAAGGATTTTGCGAGATTCCCGTTTGGTCGCGTCCTCTCCTGCCCGGGATTGCGCGGAGTCCAAGCAGCAGCTTCCAGAAGCAAATCCCGTGCCAGCTTTCGCTTCTTTTCCAACCGAACTGTCTGTTAGGCTTGCTCCAAGCCAGGGCAGCAGGTGAGCGGGCTTAGCCTCCAGTAAGGGATATTTGCCAACCCCTTCTCTGGATCTTGCTGTCTTCCCTTTGTGCTCCGGCCCTAAGCTGCGATTCCAGCGACAGAGGAAAACAGCAACTTTGCAGGAAGCTTTCAAATTGTCTTATAATCATACGTCACTTAATTTCATGCCAGCTATTTAGGAAACAGTATCCGTGAGCAGACCGCTGGGTTTTCACAAGAGACTTCTGAGTTGCATGCCTCCACTTTTTCTTTCCCCCCCCCCCTTTTTTTTTTTTCCCTTTTTTACACGCCCACCGCTTTGCAAAAAGTGCGAGATGTTTTGAGCAAGCTTCTCTAACCCCATATGAGGCGTGGGGCCAATTGCCTTTGTCTGTGAGTATTTCTTCTGTTTTTTAACGGCATCCTTTCCGAAACGCAGTGAGCCGATGTGTGGTATCTTCCTCTGAGAGCGCAAACCGTGCAAAGGTGCTGCCCGTGCATGTTCGGGCGTGTTGTTCTGACCCAGGCTGGGATCTCACCCAAGCAGCAGTTTTAGTCGGGAGCTTTGGGATGGGTGCTGCAGGGGGATGCTCCGACCCCGAGCCCGGCAGCCCCTGGGGCGTGGGGGTTCGGCAGGGACCGTCGCTTCGTGGTTTGTCCCCCCAACCTTCTCGTGCTCCGGCATCGCCAGCTCCCCTCCCGAAACCCCTTTTGGGCGCTTGTGCTTCGTGGTTTGCTGCCCTTGCAAAGCGCCGGCGGGGGCTGACGGCGTTGTGAGGAGCTGTGATCCCCATCCCTGGAGCTGGGTGTTGCCAAAAAAACCCCTCCCTGCGGCTGGTGGGGCCGCAGCTTCGCAGCATCCCAGCCTGGGACGGGCTGGTGCCTGTCGGGGAAGGCGGTCGCTGGCTGGAATGGCAGCCGGCACATATGGATGCCATACTGCCAGGCGAAGCACGGGCTCCCGTTGGGGCCGGTCCCCCCTTCCCTTGATAGCGGTTCCTGAGGGGAGCGATGGGGTGCGTGGGTGCTAATTACCCCCCCGACTGACTACCACTCGGCTGTGTAACCCTCTCCGTGCTGGCATCCCTGCCCCAGTGCCAAGCTGGGAAACCCCATCCCCTCTTTGCCAGCTTTTGGGGAAGAGGGTGATGAAGACCTCGGCTAGCGAGGTCCCTCGCTCGTCCCGGCAGAGCGTCCTGCCCCGATCCCTACCACGGCAAAACAAAAAAATGCCCAAAATACGCCGATTCCCCCCCACCCCGTCCCCGCAAAGCCAGCGCCTCGGAGCTATGCACGTCTCCAGACCCCTCATCTCAGAGCTCCCGCCGTCCCTTTCCCTCCCCGGCTGCCACCCGGAGCTTGGCAAACGGGACTCCGGGAATACAAGCCAAGGAGCACGACCGGCCCCGGGGAAAGCCCAGCCGCCGCCTCCGCAGGCTGGCCTCGCAGCCTGGGTTGTTTTTTTTTTTTTTTTGCATGTTATAGCAAGGTGCATGTAACAAGGAGGGGAGTCAGCAATGGGTCGGGTGGTGGGTTGAGTTCAAGCTTTTTATTTTCTTTTTTTGGCGTCGGGAGAACCTCTTGCTGCCCGTGCCAGCCCGGGAGCCTGCCGCTAGGGCTGGGTGCGGTGGCAGGGATGCGCGGAGGCCCGCCGGCCTCTGTCAGGGAGGACCTGAAGCCCCACGGGACACGCGCGGGGTGCGGTGATGGTGATTTTAGGGTTCTCGATGCTGAAGGATCATACGCCCGTTGCCTGGAGACTGCCTCCTTTATTTTTTTTTTTCCTTGCTTTTTTTTTTTTTAGTTATGTTTAAAGGAGAAAAAAAAAATGGTGAAAATGTTATTTATTGGCAGAAATTATTTAATATAATTTCCTTTTTTTTTTTTTGAGAACAAGGAATGAATTTGTTAGAACTGTCTTAATGTAAATTGGAAGTCATCTTTAAGGAGAGAAAAAAAAAAAAAAAAAAGTTAAAAATTGACAGACACAGTCAGTCGGCTCCGCTGTGGTTTATTTTGGGGTGCCTGGCTCCCGGGGCAGAGGGCACGGCAAGGAGCCCCACGGGCGCTGCCTGGCTTTCGGGAAGGGAGGAAGGTTTTAGGGTCTGTTTTACGGCCGCTGCCTCGCTCAGGGCCCCTCGCCGGGACCGGGGCAGCGCCGAGACGGCGTCTCCCAACCTCCCCGGCGTCTCCCAACCTCCCCGGCACGTCGGCACTTGCGAAGGTCGCTCCCGGGCGCTTTTGTTGGAGAGCTCTCTGCTCCCTCTCCTCACCCCTCCATCCTTCCAGCCGCTGGCTGGGTAAATAACCCTCCTCCCGCTGCCTGCCTCGGTGCCAGGAGGAAGAGGAGGGTAGTTGCCAGCTCATTTCACCCCCCGGCTCCTTCCTCGTCCCTCTTTCGGGGTGCTCCCTCCGTGCCGCGGGCTTGCGGGGCTTTGGTGAGCAGCCCTGGTCTTTGTGCTGGCCAGGCTCCATCCTGCTGGGTCAGGGCTCCGCAGCCGGCCCGGTTCCCCCGGCTCCTGCCCGGGGATCCCCATCCTACAGACGGCTCCTCCAGCCCTCCCGGCTCCGGCACCCCCTGCTCCCTCCCTGGCTGGGGAGCCGGGGTGACGGCCCCCCTCCTGTGCCTGCCACATCTGGCTTCTTCCCCTGCATCATTTCTGCCCGCTGCCAGAGCTGCTGGGGTCAGCATCTCCCCGTCGAGCTTAGCTCACCACGTGCAATCTGTTTGCCGGCTCCCCAGGCCCGGTGTCGCCGCGGTGTGACAGCCGTCCCCAGCTGCCGGAAGGGATGCTCCGGCTCTCCCACCCTTTTCCTGGGTGTTCCCACCAAACCAACAACCTGCCTCGCACCCAGCGTCGCTCCCCGGGCTCCCTCGGCGTGGGCAGGGTGCGGCAGCGAGGGGCTCCGGCAGCCGCCCACCACAGCCCGGACCGAGAGAGCATCGCCGGCCTGGCCGCGCATTCCCGGCTGGCATCGCCGCGCTGAGCAAACAGGAAACACTCGCCCTTTGTTAATCCTGTCCCAGGCCGCGCGTTAAATATTTATCTGCGAGCGGAGGCTGGCGCTGGGAGCCGCGCGGAGGGAAGCAGGGCCGGCCCCGCAGGCTGCTCGCCCCGGACGGCGCATGGGGCTGCCGAGGTGAGTCCCGGTTGCTGCCGGGGGGCAGCCGGACCCCCGGGAAGGGCTGCAGCGGCGTGGGGTGGCCGGGACCCCGCCGCCCACGGGAGGGCATTGCCAGCGGGCGCTGTGACCTCGGTGGGCTGGAGGGGACCGTCACCCCCTTGGCGAGCAGGGGATGGCGTCTGGGCTCCCCTCGCGCGGTTTAACCCTCGGCTGTGCCCCCGGCCCCGCTGCCCTCTCTGTCCTCGTCCCCCCAAGTTTCCCTGGCAGAACCGGCTCCTGTCCCCAACTTGCTTCCTCCCTGCGGTGTCCCCGGCTTGCACCGGTGCACGGTGCAGCCGCCCCGTCCCCGCGGCTGTCGGACGGGAGCTGCGTCCTCGTGGCTGTGACAGCGGGGAGCGCACCCGCTCCTGTCCCCTTTGTCCCCTGGGTGCAGCATCGCAGCCCGGCAGGGCTCGTGCCATCGGCCCCATCAGCCTCTTCATCCCCAGCAGCAGCTTCTGGCAGGGGACGGGTGGCTCAGTGGGGACCGAGGGCTGGCTGGCATCAAAGCCACCGTCCTCCCGCGGAGGCAGAGGCCTGAGCTCACGAGGGAGCGCGTGGGACAGCGGAAGGGCCAGGGCTGCCCGGTTTCGGGGCTGTCAGCAGTTTCAGGGAGCGGCGAGCAGGAAGCGGCCAGCGGGCGAGCGCGGCGGAGGCTGGGACGCGGGCGCTGCCGGAGGGGATGAGGTGGGCTACGGGGCACCCGCAGAGCAGGGCATGGAGGTGTTAAACGGGGGTCCCCAGTGCCCAGGGCCCTGGGGGATGGAGGGGATGGGGGTCGCCCATGGGAAAGCAGGTGGCTTTCACCGTGCCCCCCGTGACGGGGCTTGGGGGGCCATGGGAGCACGGAGCCCCGCTCCCCACTCAGTTCCTGACCTCCGCTGGGCGCTTCCCTCCCCATCCTCTCCCAAAAAGCCCGTCTGAGCCCCCGGCTCCATCCCGGTGGGGGGCAGCTGCCGGCGGGGGGCCGGCGGCACCGGACTCGCCCCATTTTGTAAGCGGGGGCCGAGTGCACGGGAACGCGTGCGCAGGGCGTGGGATGAGTTCAGCCTCTTGGCTCCTCTCCCTGGATCCCGTCCCTGGAAATGTCACTGGAAACTCTGAATGGGCCGGCCCCGCTCCAGAGCGGGGAGCGCTGGGGGGGCGAGCGCACCCCAGGGGGGCCGGGGCATGCGGGTACCCATCGCCGGGGAGGACGGCGGCTGCTGACCCGGCCGGGGGGTGCTGTCGGGGGGCTCTCGGCCCCAGCCCCCCCCGGCACCCCG